ACATTTATACCCTTTATGTAAAGAACTGTAGCCTAGAAAGACACATTCCTTAGATCGAAAAGAGAGCTTTTATTTGTTATAAGGGCGAAGATGAGGCCAACAACCACACCCAAAATTTTTTAATAAGGAGTAAGCTTGGCAGGCCAGGTGCCCAGGTCTGACGTCTTTAGAAATACCCAGGTCAGCACCAGCAGCGGTTAAGGAATGGACCAGCTTGGCAGGTGCGGCAATGGTGCCATCGAGGTAGCCCATAAGCTTTGTACTCCGTAAGTAGGGGAGGAGCTGGGCGCGCCATATGATAAAGTTGTTTTTGGTGAGACGGATTGTGACAGCGTGGTGAAGAGGGATTGGGCCAAAGGTCGACGCCATGGTAGTTGAGATCATGTTGGAGATGGTAGATGGGGAGGAGGAAAAAGATATGGAAGAGATTGTTAAAGAAGATATGGTATGTTTATATATGCTTGTTTGAAGGACAGAGAGAATTGTCCAAATGCAATGTATGCATGATCTAGAGGAAATGATGAATAGTATCTAAATTTCAACACTACAATACGAGTTTCGAGGGGGAAAACCTTTCTGGAGAACGCGGCAGGATTTATATCATCCTCATATATTTTCTTATACTTGAATTCAACATCGGACATGGAACCACTTTCGAGATCCTCTCCATGCTGAAGTACATAATTGAAGTTATTGAAAGAAGCAAACAAATAAAAAGCGACAGGGTAGGAGCGAATGAAGCCCTGTTTTAAAAGATGACAAACTTGAGTACCTTCTTCGATCCCCTGGACACTACTTTTTCATGATTGTAATCCTGACATAACGAATCCTTCCATACAATTTGACGTTATCAGCTTTTGTCTTTTCGAGCTCAACTGTAAGCTGTCCTACCTTCTCCTTCAACTGTCTTATTTCCTAATGTATCAGTAGAAATATTATATTGCTGGATATGTCATCTCAACTAAAACAAATGTCTAATCCTAATAAAATAAAATATACATTGCCAATAAACACAAACGAAGCACACCTCTTCTGCCTCATGTAAGCGTGTCCTAAAACGGTCCCTCTGACTACAAATTACTTTTAGCATTGAGCTTTGATCTTGATCCAATAGGAAATGTTTTCGATCTACGTTCTGACATGCAAGTGGCCATACACATTAGGACTACCAATTGAAAAAGAGAAAATTATATAACTTGAAAAATATAATATAGTCAAGATATAACAATAATAGCCAACATCACATATTCGTCAGTAAACATAGAAAAATGTGGACAGGCAAAGTAATCTAATATACCAGATAAAGCACTTTTTTGTTTTCAGTCATTTCTCTTTTCTGTTGGCCTAACCCTAACCAAGATGTTAGAGTTCTATAAAGTTCACAACTGTTTTTAGGGGATACCAGATCAAGTACAGTAAGGAGATACCTCATATAGCATCCTCTTACAGTGCTTGATCGATAGATAAATGTATTACTTCAAAACAAGAAAGTTCACAACGCAGGGGTCTACTGCCACTTCGAGAAGACAGGCGCTTGCCTCCCAAACAACAATCCCACAAAATAATCAATTACCACTTAATCCAGAGCCCAAAACACATATACATATATATATCAAACTAACATCTACGGAGAGGGTGAATTTTCTAATCTACCCCTCAACATATGCATTAATAATTGGAAACCTAACATATTCATCATGCGTGGCAAAGTAACAAGTGGAATTTAGTTATCAACAATAGTGCAAACTGGGATAGTTTGCTAGGACCAATAATGCTCTTCAATGCAACTAGTAAAATGTGATCAAGGTCTTCACTTGCTTTGCACAAATTATGCATTCATGAGGGTCGAGGAGTAAGTTTAGACATCCTCCAACAGTAACTAAGCTCTTATAAGGACCGCAAAAAGGGACTGAAACCCATCTGCATATTCAATTTTGAGAACATCTTGGAAACTTCGGGCCTAATTAGCTCTTATTCACTGATAAGACTTTCCTTTGTGATCTATTTCACATTTTCAATGAAATGGTTTCGGTTTCCAATTTAAAAAAATCAATAACCATTTCATTCTTATTTTTAATTTTCCGCTTCTTGTGCTTTCTTTTATCGTTCTGGTTTCTTATTCTTTAATTTTTATTAGAAAAAAGAAATGGGAAATGGAAGGAACGACCCCCGGTTTGCTAAAAAAAAATATCATTTTGTTGACTGCAAAGTACAGACGAGGTCAATATTGCAACTTGCAACTTCTAAATAAAAGAAAATGAAACCACGAGTTACATTCTGGTATGACAAACCATTAGTCAGAGCATTGGATTTCAAAGACCGCAAGAGGATGAAGAAAGATAAAGAATACCTCAGAAAGCTCACTCCTTGCCTCAGAAAGATCCCAGTTATCAAATAAACTGCCCTTTTGGTCCTTGGAGTTATACCACTGCTTTAAAAGAAACAAGATTAAAAGTTGACAATCATAGCTCTGAAGGATTATCAAATTTCAAAACAATACACGTGCATGCAAATGCTATTTAAATTGACTGCAGTAGTATATAGGCAAATAACCACTTAAACATATGCTTAACTTGTATTTCTTTCGGATAAATCAAATTCAACTTTCTTGACCCAAATAAAGAACATCCTCCTTTGTGGTAAGAAAACAAATTTGGACATGGGATTATTTATCATTTTGAAAAGAAATGTTACATCCCTTCTCACTATAGATGTTTCCAAATAGATACATCATTTTGAAAACTATAATATATTAAAAACAGAAATATGAACCATAGTAGAAATTTCTGCTAGCCAAAGATCGGAACCTTTAATATGTCTTCTTCCAACTTTTGAATCAACTTCTGTTGTTCAGCAACCTTTTCTGTGAGTTCAGCTCTCTTGCTTTCAGCTGTATCCAACAAAGATGTTTTTTCTGAAAGTTTAACCTAAAAAAGACATAAGAATCACATGAAAAAATATGAGAGAAATCGTTTCTTTCTACCTACCAACGATTTTTTTAAAAAAAATATACAGGACCAGCTTTCAAGAATGGTCCTGCCAGCAGGTCATGCCATGTGTCCACACCCATTTGAACATGTCAAAAGAGAGCAAGTATCAAATAGCCATGAAATATAGGCATTTTACCTTATACTGTGTAAGCTCATGTTCCATTTTTCGATTCTTATCAAGAAGAAGAGATTCCATTTTGCTTATCTCCTCCCCACTGGTGGCAACCTCCCAATCTTCAGCCTCAACTGAATTATAACCTACAGCCTGGGCATGCATGTAAAGTTATTCACAGATGAAGGAATACACTACACATGTTACCAAGCCAAGCAAATTCATCAGAGGAAGACTTTGATGGCATAAAACCTAAACAATTTTTTTAGATGACTTAAAAAATATAATATTCATGATTGTAGGACTCATGTGATCACACAAATCTTTTATATTATTATGTTAAAGATCGAAAGATGCAATGACATTCAAACATTTAGCAACAATAGTTTTGACTGAAATTATAACAACAGATCATGTTTTATATGGAACAATTGTGTTCTCTATAATCAAAAGCACTTTATACATGAGCTATGCGAAAAGTAAGATTCAAGAAAACAATATTTTTTATATACAGAGAAAAAGGGGATTTCTGAATTAAGAGATAAAAATATAACATGCCCTCACACAGATAAATAAGTTCTCCATCTAAAAGTGAGAGTGAGAGAGAGAACAAATTGTTGAGGAACTATCGCACATAATTCACAACACATTTATGATTGAATAAACCACTAGAGAAACGAATGAACCACCGGAAAAATGGCCATCAGAAGAATCAAACCAACTGGCACCGCGTAACGAGCAAGTCTTTGAAGGGACAAAGAATCAAAGTGCAGAGGAACCTCACTACACTATGAAATCAAATATAATTCATTCCTTCATACCTAAACTATGTGCCACAGACAATTTAGAATTTCGAGAGAGTAAGGTAGATAATATTTCTATCATAAAAAAACTAGATAAGTTACTTGCAAAATTTTCACTTTTTTTCGCAGATCATCAACCATTTTTTCTGTTGGTCTCGCTTGAAGCTCTCTCTTCATCTCATCAATAGCAACTTCCTGGCTTACAAACAATGAAAGTATGCGCCAGTTACTTCCAGGCGCAAATGAACTTAAAGTTGTAATGTTGAGGCTAATTGGTTTACATTGGCATATTCAAAGTAAAGTAGTGCATTGGACCTGGTGTTGATAACATAGCCTTGGTGACAATTTTAAGTAAGCATCTTTCTCCATATGAATTCAAAGAGAACTTATCTCATCTTAATCCATTAGATCTTAACTGCTTATTGTTGAAGTAGAATTGAGATTGATACTGACCTTTTCATTTATGAAGGCATTCAGATTCTTGATCTCAATAATATGCTGTTCTCGTTCACTTGATAAAGTTGTCTCAATTTCGTGCAGTTCCATGTTTAATTCTGAAATAATCTTTCCTTTGGCACTCAAAGAATTCTCAAGGACACTATTTAAATCTAAATTATCACTGAAGCCAAAGAACAAAAACCTTTCAGCAGAATATATTATATAAACATGAGAAAGGTGATATACTTTATTGCACAAGGAAACATGCAAACCAAGGAATTACTCTGTTCTTTTTGAAAAAATCATAACAGGTCAAACAATCAGAAATACTGTTAGAATACACTATATTTAGGACTGCATACTTCTTGGAAAGAAACGTTGTAGCAAACAAAAAATAAATGTACAGGATTGTTTCAGAATAATCTAAACAGAATAGATTATAGGACATCTATCCAGTCAACATGAACCAGAAGAGAGTAATTTTTCAGACTAACAAATACTGCCTTCATCGAAGTATTGTTATTATTAAATTGGATAAGAGCCATATTTCTTTTTAAAATATGTATTAGCATAAAGGAAAAGCATATCATTCTATTCTGCATAGGTTGATACAGTAAGTACTGAAGATAGAGTTTTACTATAACTGATGCGCTAATAAGTTGTCAAGAAATTATAAAAAAAAAACTCCAATTAGTGATTTCTGTGCATCGAAAGCCACGAACTTCAGAAGCATCCCTTCACTTATGGTTCCCTTTTGTGCCTAGGGAATAGACTGCTTTATCTGTTTAGTCTCAGCCGGGTTCATCAATCAGTTTTTAATGCAAATATTGTGTGCTATTACCCCTTCAAATCCATGGCTAAAATAAGCAGTCACTTATTTTGTTTGTTTGGATAGAGAGAATTCATAGGACTTTGACGATAATTGTAGGGGCTTGGAGGAATTTTAAGATTCACCAGACTTCTCAGTTCTTCTGGGTGTAACTTAAATAAGTTCTTTTACAATTGTAATACTTCGTTTTATCAATGCCAAGTGGAGTACTCGCTGGCAAACTCCTTTGCCTTCGTACAAGTTGATGTCTCATCTGACTATGCTTCCTTTTATTCTCTAGGATATAATGCCCTTTTCATTTCCTATATACATATCAGTAAATAGCTCATATGAAGACTTCAAATAATGTTCCCTTCCAAGTAATGTTCTGGAGACTTCAACTATCCTACAATTTTCTTGGTTTTCAGCTATCCTAAGTCCTTGTTCATCCAATGCACTTTTCTCCTCCTCTAAATCAAACTCTGCAAATAGGAAACCAATGACCATTTTGTGTTAGAAGAGGGTAAATTTTTCAAGGCAGTCTTAAATCAAACAGACAGCAATTGATAGTCTTACTGGAACTTCATATCCAAAAGCACAAAATGCCTTTGATATTCGTTAGTACAATTTAACTCAACGATTCGCATTGCGACATACTACCTTACTCCAATGGACAAGAACCTCTCAGTATAAAAATTCTAGTCTTCTTAAATAAAATTGAGCTCAAAATTCAAACTAACGCATAGAAATCAAGCATAATATCCGAGTTAAAAAATGAATGCCCCTGCTGTGAATCAGAACATAACATAGAACACGTAATTTCCTTAAGCTAGTTAATAATGAAGTCCAAACCCCCCAATAAGCACAGGAATTGAAAGAGAACCCGATATACAATTAGACTATTACCTTTCCAGAAACTGGAAACGACGGAGACGGGAGAAGAGGACGAGGAAGAGTCCGGCGGTTTATCCCTATCGGATCCACCTTGCGGAGACTCCATGTATGAGAATGCGTAATTCAGATATGGCCGCTCAGCGAGTTCAAGAGTGCGATCACTTTCAAAAACTAGAATCACAGAGCTTCTACAGTAATTGTGAGATAGATGTAGAGATGAAGGAAGTAATGCAGAAATCCCGGGAGCTTCAACACTTCTGGTATGGCGAATTGGACGTCTCATTCTTCTTCTTCTGTGTGAATTTGGAGAAGTGAATCTGTGAATGTGCATTGCAATGCAATGCAAGGAATAACAACCAAGTTCGTTGACCAACGGCTCTCTACTGGGCCAAAACCTTGTGCTGCTCGGACCATAATATCAGCTCAAGCAACGGTTCTTAGAAAATTATAAACAAAAAAATTAATACAAATAACAGGGGTCATTCCTGAAAACTAATTAATAATTCTATTTTTAATGAAAAAATAAATAAGTAAACCAAAGATAAGACTTTGTTCTTGAGTTGACATTTTTTTCTTGCGTCAACACGAAAATACAGTTACAACTCAACCTTTTAACATTTGTGTAGTGCTGTCGCTAAGTAGGTCGGAGTGCTGTCGCTAAGCAGGCCGGCCGAAAGGACACCAAATGCCTAAACAAGACAAAAACCTACTTTCTTTCGGCTTAACACAAGCTTTCTGGTCTTCCCTCTAGCACACGGGGATCAGCCCTACGCACCAAGGACGAAGCGTAGAGGTCCCTTTAGCTTGTTGTACTGGAGTGGTTCATCGTCAAAAGAAGAACAATGGGTTATAACATTTCCTATAAATGGATCGTTGGGCTTTCTCATCTAAATATAAGGGTGAGGTTTGTGACACCAAAAAGTGATACATTATGACTTGTATATGTTTATATTTAAATTTTTAAAAAATAACAAGAGGACAACTAAATTCTTGAAAATAGAAAGTAGGGCTTAGGTTGAGTTGTGGACTCTTCTTTGGTTGCTAAACACAATTAAACCTTAATCCGGTTTCTTTTTCCTTTTATTTTAAAGTTTTATATGTAGTTGGATTTTAAATTATTTTTTATTATCTAAAAAATTTATAATTTATTGAGCGTAAACATTTGCTTTATGAGTAATATTCTTAGTGTGTGTTTCAATTTTTTTTATTTTTATTAATGGTAAGTTAAGTTCCTCATGCTACTACTCGAGTATGTATATTGAACGATTACTAAACGTTTTGATGTTTCAAAAATCGAATATGAGAAATAGAAAATGAGAATTCAAAGTCAAAATGCGTTTCCAGTTAACTATTCGTAATTAATTGTATTCTTAATTTAAGAGAACTGTAATGGGTAGCAAAAAAAAAAAAAAAAAAAA